TTCCTTCCATTAAAGCAAAAACTTGAAATTGCTCAAAAACTCGAGAAAGGTGCTAGTGTTTCATCCTTAGCAAAGATTTATGGTGTGGCCAAATCAACAGTTTCGGGAATAAAAAAAAATACTCGTAGTATTATATCCCACCAGGCAGTTGGAGCATCTAAATGGAAGACTCTTAGAAAAGGCGAGTATCCCCGCATGGAGAAGATGTTATACAAGTGGTTTATAGCTCTACGAAACAAAAATTGTCCAGTTACTGGGGAAATACTTAAGAAAAAAGTAATGAATCTACACGCTGACTTTAAGGAAAAAGAAGGTAGCTTTCATGCCAGCCCCGGTTGGTTATCTGGATTTAAAACTCGCTTTGGAATCCGACTTTTAAAAGTGTGTGGCGAGAAACTTTCATCGGATATCCAGGCAACTGATCCCTTTAAGCATAAACTCAGAAACATTATTTACGAATTGAAGCTTTGCGAGGACCAAGTAACGCAGACGAGGCTTGTTTTGGAAAATGCTTCCTGATAGAACGTATGTCAGTCAAACAGAAAAAAAACAGCTCCGGGAAGAAAAGCAGAAAAGGCCAGAATTACTTTTCTTGCATGTACAAATGCAACTGGTCAGCATAAAGTCAAACCTTTAATAATTGTCCATTCCAAGAAGCCGCGCTCTTTTAAGGCTTATGACATCCCGGTAGACTATCGCAACTATGTATGGATGACTGCCAACATTTTCAGAGAATGGTTTCACCATTGCTTCGTCCCTCAGGTACATTTATAATGCAACTCCTGACATTTTTGCAGAGTATTTATTTGTTTTTAATTGATATTAGGTTCATAAGTATTTACTACAGAAAGGATTACCAGCCAAAGCTATCCTTTTGTTTGATAACGCCCCTTGCCATCCTCCAGAAGATGAACTTAAAACTGCTGATGGATCCATATTCGTGATTTATATGCCTCCAAATGTAACGCCTTTAATTCAGCCTATGGATCAAAATGTGATTCGCTTAACTAAGCTGTATTAAAAAATACATCGCCTGCTTTTAGCTGTAGGAAAGGATGACATCACACAATTTCTAAAACATTTAACTTTAAAGGATGCTGTATCATTTTTAATGCTTGCTTGGAATCAGCTGGAGGCAAATGTAATAGTAAAATGTCGGAAGCCTTTATTAGAATGCTTAAATACTAACAACTGCTGCAAGTTTTATTACCGGAGGTAATTTTATTCACCCTCTTGACAAGTACCTGTTAATTAAGTTTTTATGTGAACATTATTTGTTTTAGGAAATCTACACTGAACAAGATATTGATAAGTGAAATTTAATCCAAGTTGACGAAGAAATTGATTTAGATAATTATACCATGGATACTGAAGAATCTGGTGATGACAGCCAAGGCGAAGTACAGATCGGAAATTCAATAAAAGCTACTGAAGCCATTAAAAGCTTCGATATAGCTATCGCATGGGCTGAAGCTAACACCACTGACTATGCTGGCATACTAGTCAAAGTCAATTTCCGAAATCAAAAAGCAAACATCTATTCGTAAATTCTTTCAATAATATTTGTGTATTTTTCAAAAAATTACTTTATACATATAACCTGTTTTGTTTACATAAACAAACATGAGTTTAAAGCTAATAAACCAAGTTAAAAAAAAATGTTAACTTTAATATAGTGAACAATTAGTTCACTATATCCAGACTCCACTGCATCATTGTTTCCAATGCCTTCGGAAATAATTATCCCATTCCAACACAAAACTGCGAATCAAAATTTGAATACTTTGTGCTTTAGTTGATATCTGGTAAATCTTGTGGATAAATAATTCTCATTCTTGTAATAGATTTATTCATCTATTCAATGCCAACTTAAGCTTGCTGCAGCGGCTTTATTGGCAAAAATGCGTCAGTAAAACTATTTTTCAGGTTCATTGCACTGACCACATTGCATATTAGCCCTTTTATGTTATATGCATAGGTTTTAAAATGAGCAAATAATAACTGTTTTGTGAGTACTTTTGCTTCTCTCAACTGGAGTATACGAGTATTCTTATACCCAAGCGCAATTTTTTAAATAGCGTTTGTTACGATATAATTTTTTGCTTTCCCCCCTTTTCATCGTGTCTGCATTTTCTGGGAATTACTTAAATGCCGAAGTTCAAAATTCCGACACAATTCAAATCTACAGCAAAATCAATATACCGGCAAACCCAAATGCCGGCATAAATATAATAAAAAAATATTAAGAAATGGGTGCTTGGTAATCAGAGATGTTACTGGCTGGCATCGTTGGAATATCTGAAGGTACAGTGATAACTATTTTGAAAAATCATTTGAGCGATTTGAGTAAAACAAGTGAAAGCACGGTTGGTTGAAATCATTCAATTGTTGGAATATGAATACTGAAGGTACAGTGAAAACCATTTGGACCTAAAAAAAAAGTGAAAACACGATTGGTTGGAATCATGCATTTTTTTCTGGAAACAGCGTTCCCTCAACGTCTTAAAAGAATATCAGGATGTCATGAGATGTATTATTACCATTTAAAAAATCATTTGGGTCTAAAAAAAGTGGAAGCACGATTAGTTGAAATCATTCAATTTTGTTTTTTACGTTACGTCAACGTCTTAATAGAATATCAGGATGTCATGAAATGTATTATTACTGGCGATGAGACTTGGATCTATGCTCAGATGAAATGTCAAGGTTATGTAGGCAATTTTCTTCGATTATCGAGGTGTAGTGCACTCCGAATTCCTTCCGAGTGGCTGTCAACAAGGAATAATATGTGATTGTTATGCGTCGTTTGCGCATTTTACACAGATTTTGAAGAATAAATTAATAATATTAAAATTATGAACTAAGTCTGACAATTTTTTGCTCATAGTAGTATATATTCAAACTTTGGTTTACAGCAACACTCATGACTCCCTTACTAATTTTTCTCATATTTGCTAAGCCAACATTTGTATTTAAAATGCTTCTGTTGATTTCTATTTCTATAGCAATTATTCAACATAGTGTTGCAAATGGTCTTTGTTATTGCCATTCTGGGTTCTTCGTTCCTTTTTTCACCAGTTTTTATTCAACTCGCGCGCATTGTGTTCTGCTTTCATTGTGTTTCGTTGCGCATGGCGCTTTTGATTGCATTTGTATTGTTGTTGCCAAACATGCCACAATATTGTCGGTGTTAGTTGGCAACTTTGCAATATTGCTATTCGTATTGTTATTGCTATATTGATTGTCACCATTGTGTTGGCTGTTGGAAACTTTATGTCGCACTTATTGCCTCTATAGCCGCTCGTAGCTTTCTCTATTTCTGCGACTAAAGTTTTTATTACAATGCGAATTACTTAGCTGGGCGGCTCTCGAATAGGGCTGCCATTTTCCTTAAAAAAAATTAATTAAGTACATGGTCTTGCACGGTTTTGTAAGTGCTGAGATTTGATGAACACAGCGTCTTCAACATCACGTGATTCTAAATTTTTTGGTGGACTTCTGGCACCGAGTAAAATTTAGAGAAAAAATTTTACGAATTAAATTTCGAGCAGAAGAATTGATATAATTTCAGAAAAGTGTTAGAGATTAGGCTTTAAGACTCAATGTTCGAAAACTTAAGTCTACTCTAAGCAGTAATTAGCCTATGAGCTAGAAATATACAGAATGATTCATGTGGGACACGAATGTTGATCTAAAAATATCTTCACTTATAAATCCGACGATAATTCTCGGTTCCGGAATTACCCTTCGACCAATAAAAGATCTAGCCAGGAATAGAAGCGTGATCCATTTATTCTTAGCTATTAAAGTGTTACTGCTATACTGCTAAATATAGCGTTGCCATCTGACATTTAGCAATTGAAAAAAATAATACTTTCGTAATCAAAAATTAAGGATGCCAAATGTACACAATCTAAATGATGAAATAATGTTACCATGCATTTAAGTTTTAAGGGGGGAGGGTTAACTTTATGATTTTGGAATTGATTTTCATAAACTATAATTTTATTTTTATACATTTAATTTGCAGCATATAGTCAATGCGGTGTTTGCTCATTTTACTAAATCTTTCTATTATTTCTTCCATTGTTGTTGAAAAAGCGCTACTTCTACTTTGAGCTTCATTTTTTGCAGTTCTTTGTTTTCGGTCAAGATTTTCCCAAAACTTCTAATTAGGCATTCAATGAGTACAGTTAAATCCTTTTCTTCCAAATTTAGGTTGAATTTTGGTAACAGCTGAGTCAAATTGAAACTTTCAATATGTTCATCGGAGAAAAGCGTTTTTAAAAAAGACCGTGTCCATGAGTGGAATGTATGCAAAAGCTCTGTAAAGACATCTATGCTAAATTTCACCTCAAAATATTTATTAGTATTTAAGATACACGTCGTTTTGTAAGGCTGTAAAAGTGAATTCTTCGATTGTTACTATGTCTGAATTTATTAAACAAAGAAGTGCGTCAATGCACCATCTCATACTGCATTGGTTATTCGTGATCATTTCGCCACATTTTCAACTAATATCTTGCCGCAACCACCGCATTCGCCTGGTTTACCTTCGTGTAACTTCTGGATAATCAGCAAATTTACATGACCACTCCGAGGACACCGTTTTAACTCAATTGTGGATATAAAAGCTGAATCGAAAAAAAAACTCTGATGGCCATTACGACGAAGGAATTTTCCACGTGCTATGATGACTGGATAATTCGTTGGTGTTTGGATCTCTCCCTCAGTTCCCCCTCGTGAATCCGCCTCAGTAAGTTGGTAATTAAATGTTATAATTATAAGCTAAAAATTTTTCAATCGCTTGTTTCCAAAGTTTTTGTTAGGTTAAAGGCTGAAACGGTGTTATCACATCTACTTTATTTTCAATCATTACATTATATGTTTAAAATTTGTAATCGAATATGTAATACATCCTATGCCATTTTTATTAAATTTTGAATAAACCACCACATAATTTAGATATGTTTCAACCACAAAACAAAACTCAGGGTCAATAACTTGTTTCAAACCTCTTTATTTATTTTTTATTTTTTTTTAATTTAAGTCTGACTAGTTATAAGTAGTGACATAGACATACATACATTATTTATTATGTCAATTATTTAGTTTTATATTTTTTAAGCCATAATAATCGGCGCAAATTGTTATTGATTTTTTTTATTTTAACCTACTTCCCTTATTAATTAATTTTCGCGAATTTCCCTCTTTATCCAATCCAAATAAGGACTAATGCGCGTAAAAATAAAAGGAAATCCCAGTTCTGGCGGAATTTCATAGCTTATAGCTTCGACACCCAGCAAAAAATAGGACTGCATTTTTCCAATGTTCGCTAGCGACATCAGCGCACCGCCAGAATCTAAAATTTTGTTGTTATGTACACCTTTATCTTTCACACAAACGTGTTTTGCTGTCAAATTAATGCCGGCTTCAGTCAAAAAACGATCCTGAAATTGCTCCAAACTGGATATATGAACAATGGATTTCATTTTGAATTCTGCTACTTCCTCGAACAAGTGCGCCCCCCATCCGGATATTTGCAGTATCTTGTCGTCGTTAAGACTAGCCGATACGTGTTCAGTTTCGAAGGGTAAGCAAATCGGTGCTATGTAACGTGTGGTATGTACCGACTCGGTCAAGTGCAGCAACGCGAGATCGTTATACAGCGATTCATATTCGGGATGTTTGATTACTTTGCTCACAGCCAAATCGATTGAGATTGACTCACAATCCATTTGATCCGCCAACGCCTGATTTTTACAATCCTGCAGCAATGTTGTAGCCCACACACCCAAACGTACGCCGGTTAAGGTCCACTCTGGCTCATTCTCATACAGACAATGCGCCGCGGTGAGCACGTAGCGCTCGTGTATAAGCGTGCCGCCGCAGTAGGGACGAGTTTTTCCTATTTCTGTAAGGTGCATAATTATTTATAGATATTGGTATATATGTATATGTAAATATAGTTCAATACTTGTGTATAGGAGCAACGCTGTCCAGGGATATTCCGCGCTGCTGGTAATTGAACCGGCGTCGAAATAATTTTCAGCTGGGAAAACTACGCCGCAATATGGCGGCAGCGGTAAACTCAATTCTTCCGCCACCAGCGCTTCTGGGCAGCAAACCTATTTTCAGCTGCATTATTTATATCAATTGTTAGAAACTTTTTTTTTTGTTACTCACTTTTGGAAACTTAGCGCCATCACCGCAGAAGCTAGCATTCAAATATTTAGCATCATTTTCAAAAAAGTCAGGTTTCTGTAGAACCCGCATCAGCGATTCGCAATGTATAACGGAAATACAAGTGCCATTAGCACCGTTAGGTGCTTTACATTTTTCTACTATAGGAGCGGCTTAATAGGTTGAAAGCAAAAAAGAAGACATAATGAAATATGGCTGATTTTTTCGATGAATTTTCTTATAAAATAGAAATTAAGGCAGACACTTACTTTTTAAATCACAAATATATGTTCACCATATTTTTCTACTTAGGTTTTCGAATACCATTTATACATTTTTCATTCTTCAATAATAGTTGTTCTTAAAACAGACCAGATATCAACCAGTTGGACTTTGGCTATCAGAGCAGCAGTAAGAACCAAAATGGAAGAGTTTCGAGAATAAAACACTTATCTAATTTATTCAATTACTTTTGAAATAACTTTGAAGGGTTTTTTCTCGTCTTTAAATAAGTGCTTTGATGACGTAATATTTTAAGTATTTTTTTTTTTAATTCTGTCGTAAAGCCAGGCCAACATATAAGGAATAAGCTCGTAAAAGTTAAAACCGGACTTAAGGAAACAAAGGCAGCCGTAGAGGCAAGATCATCCTTTTTTATTTTTTAAGGAACTAAATCCAAAGAAACTCCATTGGCCTTGTTTTTTACCACTACAAAGCATTCCTCTATAGATTTCTTTTCTCGGCAAACTTTCCACTTACCTGCTCATAAACCTAGGAAAAGTTTAAATTTGGATATATTATATTTAAGTACGGGTAAGTACCTGTTGTTGTGGGAGTTTCCGCTTCTGGTACGGGAGAAACCACCGTTGGACAACAATACTGAAAGAAATACTCTTAGTTAAAAAGGAAGCGACCAATATGTAAAATTGGTGATATCTGTATCTATCTTATCTTAATTAAATCTGAAGACACTTCCTTGATATGTTCTCTACAAAAGAAAGAATCTAGTGCCATATTTATGAAGTCTCTCCTAGTAGCGCTCGCCACAATCTGAGAGCGACTAATTAATTTATCTCCTGAGAAATTACTAAATATGTCGTATTCTGGATAGACCTTAACAGTTACAACAACACAATAACTAATAGTACATGCTCTAATCGAGTCTTTTGCTACATTTGTAGTTTCTGTCAATAACCTTTACTCCTGAATCATAACCTTTAATTACTTTTAACTTTTTCTCGACTGAAGAAACGTTTTATACTCACTCTCTCTGAACTATCACATCTGCTCTTATACAAAAACTCCATTTCTTCTTGTGTTGATTGATCTTTTCTAATAAGTATTGCTATGGCCAAGCAATCGGCTGCATCCAAACAAATACCAGGCACACCACTTGGTGTTTTGCACACCTGACCGGCTGAAAGAACATTTGATGAATGTACAAATATAGGTTTCGGTACTAATAAGCACATGAATACCCTGCTGAAAACGAGCACTCTTAGTTGACAATTAGCGATAATAAAACAAGTTTGGAATTGAGAGTATCGTCTTTTATATTATATTTAAACTTTGCATATCCGCATTTTATATGTTAAATATTTATATATAATAAGGTCCATTTTATTTAAGGTATGGCTTTATTGGCTACTAAGAGGACTAATTTCCATTTTTGGATCGAATATTTGTCTTTAGCCTGTTAATAGTTCTAGAATTACTGAACTTGCTTTTGGAACAACCCCATCAATTACTCAAAGCTCTCAAATCTGATGATCTGGTGCTAGTAATTTCACTTTGTTTCAAGAGGTAAGTTTGACAGAGAGGTAAAGTGGATTTCGTTAAATTCAAAATTATGACTCAATTACGTTTTTTGACTGAAATGCCGGAATACACCAAATATGGAAATTTTGTTTACTAATCGCAGCAAGCAGATTTCATCTAAATGTATTTTCAGAAATCAGCGTCAATAAAAGCATTTCATGCAAAAGTTTAATTGTATTTCAAGCGACGCGCGGAACAAAAATAATATCTAATGAATTCTAGACTCTCTCCGAAGTTTATGTATGTATATTCATTCGAAGGATTACGTCTAAGACGATTGGTTGCTACCACATCTCTCACTAATCTGTATTCAAACGAATTTCATACCAACTTTCAGTATTTCTCACACAATTATTACTGTTGAGATATTCAACACCTGTTAATGAACTCAAGCATTGTAACAAATCACCATAAAAGCTAAAGGACTGTATGGTTTCTCGCAGAGCGTTTATTCATATTGTGCACACTAACCTTCATCAGAAATTATTGTCACCTCATCATTATCATCATCCGGGCAACACACCTAAGAGAACACGTTCATAAATTTCAATTCAGCCATATTTATTCGGGGAATTTCGTTTAAGACTTATGAAAATACTCACACTAACGGAATTATCGCTACTTTTGCATTGCTTATCTTTTAAATATCTTATATCTTCTTGTGTTATATCGGTGTTCATAGCGATGTTATATAGGATACTACAATTTTGTATCTTAACACAGTGACCGACAATACAACTTTCCTCGATTGGCGGAACTAAAAAACAATAGATGTGAAGTTAAACAATTACTTTTATGTATATATTTAAATCACTTACCGAGTGTCGTCGTGGTTGTAGTCTCTGGCACTGACCTTTCAGATATAGGACAGCACGCCTGAAAATTTAATTTAAAAATTTAGCACAGGTTTCCCTTTTTCACTGTTAAATGAGTTCTTACGCTATATGGTTGGTTGGTGTAAGTGCAGACCTCAGCATGAGATTTTAATATAAAATGGTCCAAGTCTTCTGGATGTTGCTTTTTAACGATGGCCATTAAAGATTTGCAAGTTGTAATATGTTTACACTCGCCGTCCTCACCGTTTGGCGTTGTACACAGATCTGTAATCAAAGCGACTTATAATTACTACGATTGTGGAATGAGTTGTATAAGAAAACTTAAGCTTGTACAAACAAAATATTATAAGCAGAGCACTAACGACTTAAGTATACTACAAAGTATCAAAGATACTGCCCTTCTATTACTAATAATCAATTGTTAAAGTACCTCTGGCCTAAAAAATGTTACTGTCATTGTCAGTTACGAAAAGTTCTTGATACCAACTATGTATACATTTGGGGGTTCTACAGAAACAATAATCAATATCTCATTTTGAGTTTGATTGGTCAGTAATTATGGCAGCTGTATGATATGAGTATTCGAACAAAACAATTAGTTCGGATATTTTAGGGAGATTTTGATAAATAATCTGTGCCAAATTTCGTGATGACACGTTGACAAATTAAAAAGGTTTGCAGACAAAGACCTGACTTTATTTATTTTTATCAAACACCGTGGATACTATTCTGTTTGCTTTGTTCTGTGTAAATGAATGTAGATTCTATATGAAAAATTAAATGTAACCACCTATTAAATGTACGGCTCCAAAGAGAAATTGAAAATATACTCGACTAGACTACAGATTAGGGTTTTTCAGCTTGACATTAAATAAAGAACTTGCCTTATTAGGCTGTAGTTTTTATACTCTGTATGTATCACCTAAACCTAAACGAGATAGATATAATGTTATATGGTATATATATAAATGACCAGGATGACGAGAAAAGTTGAAATCCGATTGACTGTGTGTCTGTCCGTCCGTCCATCCGTGAAAGCTGTAACTTGAGAACAATTTCAAATATTTCGAAGTTAGTACGCGAGTTCTTTAGTACAAAAAATATTACGAGTTCCCATAAATCGGCATTAACCGAAAACCGAAAAAGTGACATAACTTAGCACTAAATTAAGATATAAATCTGTAATTTGACACAGGGGATCGCAGTAGCAAGTGGCACCTGTGGACAAAAAATTTACTACAACAACCAAATTTACCGAGCACCGCCCACATTTTGATGAAATCACATTTTTCGGGACCTGACCGACCGATTTCAACTAACTTTAGCATTGTTTTCATATGTCTATGTCACAGTGTGAAAATCGAAACACAACCACGCCCACTTCTTATATACCAAACTTTTAAATCCCACTTGATTTTTAAGTAATAATTCTTTGATAGTGGCATACTACTTATGATCAAAAAATGTCCAAATCCACCAAAAACTTTTCAAGGTACCTAAAATGTACACTCCAGCCATTATAGTGGACTTTTGACAGAAAATATCGGTCAATATCTGGGATACAAGTTGATATTCAGGGATAATTCTTCTCTTGCAATGGCATATGAATCGGGGTCAATAATTCCCTTTGCCCCCATTTAACTAATATAAAAATATCGAACTTCCGGGTGATTTTATAAAGGCCAATATTTCAGCTATCTCAATAAAATGTCAGAACATGTTTTACTCATAACAGTATATCTTTGTGACTAAAATAGATACCATTGTGCGAAAACTTGGCCGATACTACCCCAACTCCTATATAGTACGAATCATGACTTTCTTTTTCTAAGAAACCATATGTCGAATAATGAGTTAAATAAAGTATGTATGTATAAAATTGCTACGATTTCGATCCTCTGGTTCACGTTTTACATCTTATGGTATTTCACTGACTTTGATTCTTGCAAGTGGTAAGAGTATGAAATGTTCTGTTGCACCCGATCTTAGCGATTTCTTACTTGTTTTATTTTGCATTGACTTTGGCAACAATTTTGCTGAACCTTGAAAAAGCATTTAAAAACGTCTTCTGAAATCAGCGCATCAGTAAATCGAGGCACCTGCACTTGCTCGTGAAGAAACTAATGCGTCCTAAGAGGAGTGACCACTTGGTGCAAACATTCCTACCACTTTTGCTTAAAAAACACTACCGGAAACATAGGTCGAGTGCTATAATTTGATGATAACAGATTCTGCATATACGCGAATTGAGGTTATTTAGTTGTACTATTCTCGATAAGTGAAACAATCTATAGAATTGAGGTTAAATATCTTCGACAGCGCATTCTCTCCAATCCTTTCGGATGATAGAGCATTCATTAACTGGAAATGGCTTCTTTTTCACATCATATTGATGAATTATTACTCGTCGTCGCTATACGTTAACAGATATGCTTCGTAAAAAATTAACGTATCATAAATTTCGACGTTATGGTCACTTCAATTGAATTGAGTTTTTAAACTTTATTTCGCTATTTCATAAGGTCCATGTTATCTCGTGCGAAGAAACGACACTCACCTCCTTTAGTGCTTGTGGCGAAAACAAGCACACAAAATAAACATAACTGTATTCCAGGAAAAACACTCATTTTTCGAATACAAAATAAATTTAAAGCGTGATTTAAATCCAACTTCTGCAGCGTTCTGATATGCACTGGGCCGCCTATGTGCTCAAGCTATACTGATTAAAATTTCATCGCAAATATTTATGTACTTACACAAACATATATATATACTTTCTTATTCTGATGAATTTCTTATCAGTAAAAAATTGCATAGAACAGACCTTTTCGTACATATATATATGTATACACATATATATTAATATTCTATATTGGGGTGATTCTTAGAGGAGTTCTAAATATCACTAATACGAGTACTTTAATAATACATTCCGTGCGATTCTGTACTGTGATACAGTATCAAGTCTCTAAATTTGATAGAGACAATTTTTGAGACTTGAGGCGATTTTGCTATTCTGTAAGTGATAGTCACAAACTCTATTACATCTCATTATTCAGAGATGTTTTTATACTTGAATGAAAATAAATATGTCGATAACAAATATTAAATTTTCTATAACATAGTCAAAAAACATAATTATCAATAAAAATAAAAATATATGTTGACTTTGTT